ATTTAATATGGTGGTTAGTGCTGCACAACACGATGGAGGTTATTTGTGAGGGTGTGACTCTATCTCCACAAGGACTGTGTAGTTGTTACTCTTAACAACATGGTCATGGATAGATGCATCTGCAGATTGGTAAGGATGAGGTTAAGTATGATTTTCCTTCTTCCTATCTGCCAAGCATGACTCCAACCAGCAGAAATTTTGCCCCATGCTAACCATTGATTCTAGTTTTGCCTCACCACCTGTCGCAAACCCAGTCTAGTAGCTATGTCCTTTAGAAACTGACCAGCTCAATCAGTAGTGCTGCTGCTGAGCCACTCTTCGTGGTGGACATTGAAATCTCCCACCCAGAGTACATTTTGCCACCCTTGGTACTCCCTGCAAGTGTTGTTCAACATGGAGAAATACTGATTCATCAGCTGCAGGAGGACGGTATGTGGTAATCAGCAGGAGGTTTCCTTGCCTGTGTTTAACTTGGAGCAGTGAGACTTCATTAGGTCCAGAGTCCATGTTGAGGACTCCCAGGACAATTCCTTTCAGTGGGACAGAACACATCCAGGGGTGGTGATCATGGTGGTGTCTGGGATGTTGTCTGTAAGGTATGACTATGTCAGGCTGTTGCTTGTGTAGTTTGTGAGACAGCTCTCTCAATTTTGACACTTGGCCCCAGATGTTAGTAGAATCATAGAATCCCGACTGTGTGTGGAAAGAGGCCCCTCGAGTCTGCACTGACTCTGCAAAGGTCATCGATTTTATTTGATTTATTATAATCACATGCACCTAAGTACAGCGAAAGGCTTTATTTTGTGAGTAGTACAAGCAGATCATAGCAAACAAGGACTTACAGATCATAGGGTTCTTAGACACAGCAAGGCATCCAAGGTTACGAATGCACAGGAAGTGCATAAAAGTGAGGTCAACATTAGATTTGAAATTAGAGGTCTGTTTGGCAGTCTAATGACAGCAGGGAAGAAGCTGTTCATGAACCTGTTGGTTCGTGTGTTCAAGCTTCTGTATCTTCTGCCTGACGAAAGAGGTTGAAAGAGAGTATTACTGGGGTAGGAGGGGTCTTTGACGTTGGCAGCCTTTCCGCGGCAACGAGGAGTGTAGCTGGAGTCTGTGGATGGGAGATCGGCTTCCATGATGACTTTGCAGGGTCGACAGGACTGATTCTGCCATTGTCTTTTCCAGTGCTTAGGTCAATGCCAGGGGGTCTATCTGGTTACATTTCTCTGTGGAGACTTCATACCTATTGATACAACTGAGTGGTTTGCTAGGCCATTTCCTTCATCTACCATGGTGAGATTCAAATTTTAATGGATGGCAGTAGTCACCCCAGTGCTAAGCACTATTTAAAATTAACCTATAAGATTAGCCTATAATGTTTGAAACAGAAAGGGGAGAGGAAGCTGTTGTCTCCAGATAGCCTTGAGGTGAGGGGCAGCGTCCTATGGGTCTGATCTGAGGAGCTAAGGCCTTTAGGTCTTTTGTGAGGTGCTAAGAGGTAAATGATTTGAAGTTGTTACATCCCAGTGGGGCAAGCCTTGGTGCAAGCTAGAGGGTCAAGGTGGATTGAAAGAGCCTGGAACCTGGGGAAACTTGCCTGCAAAGACCCATGAAAGGAGAATATCATCAGCCACCAATCCAGTCCTACTGGAGTATCTTGCAGAAAAGGAGCAGGCCAGATGCAGGAGTGACCAGGTGCCAGAGGCATCATTGCAGCAGCAACAGGATCAGCCTCTGGCTGGTAAAATCATAGAAGAATACAGTTGACTGGCTCATCCCTGTCCCAGTGTTTTTCAGATTTACCTTAACCACATTGAGTTTATAGCACCCTTGCCAAGAAACACTGTCAAGCGCAGACGTCACACACCTGTGTGTGATGCTGCAACATGGCCTGCAACCCAGAGAATTTAGTGAAAATTCAGTGTCTATTGTGTGGAAAGTCACCTTTTGATGTTGACCTTCGATGCATTGAGCTCCTATGAGGGATCCACCAAAGACATGTGCAGGGACTCCCAAGGAGATCACCAATGTATTGTTCAAGAGGATTATGCTGCCCCTGATTGTCAGGCAGAAAGATCCATGAGTTTCTTGGCCATTCCAGGATATCCAATGTTTCAGACTGCTTTGGTTGCATCCATGTAACTATCAAGGCTTTTGACAAAGTACCACATGTTAAGTTATTCAGTATGGTTAAATCTCACAGGATCCAGGAAAAGCTAGCCAATTGAATACAAAATTGGCATGACGGTAGAAGACAGAGGGTGGTGGTAGATGGGTGTTTTTCAGACTGCAGGCCTATGATCAGCAGTGCGCCACAGGGATCAGTGCTGGGTCCACTTTTTTTTGTCATTTTATATAAATGAATTGGATGAGAATTTAGGTATGGTTAGCAAGTTTGCAGTTGCTCCCAAGATTGGTGGTATATTGTACAGTGAAGAAGGTTATCTAGGAATGCAGCGAGATGTTGCTCAACTGGACCAGTGGGCCGAGGAATGTCAGATGAATTTAATTTAGATAAATGCAAGGTGTTGCATTTTGGGAAGGCAAACCAGGGCAAGGACTGACACAGTCAATGGTAGGGCCTTGGGGTGTGTTATAGAATGAAGAGATGTCAGGGTGCAGGTTCATAGCTCCTTTAAAACATGTAGACAGGGCGATGAAGAAGGCTTTCAACATGCTAGCTTTCATCAATCAGAGCATTGAGTGTAGGAGATGGGATGTCTTGTTACACCTGTACAAGACGTTGGTGAGGCCACATTTGGAGTACTGCGTGCAGTTCTGGTCGCCCTACTGTAGAAAGGATATTATTAAACAAGAAAGAGTGCTGAAAAGATTTACTAGGATGCTACCTGTACTGGAAGGTTTGAATTATAAAGAGAGGTTGGATAGGCAGGGACTTCTTTTCGTGGAGCGTAGGAGACTGAGTAGTGATCTTCTAGAGGTAAATGAAATCATGAGAGCCATGAAGAAAATATATAGCAAACAGCTTTTCCCTATAGTAGGGGAGTCTAAAACTAGAGGGCATATGTTTAAGGTGAGAGGGAAGAGATACAAAGAGTCCAGAGGAGCAATTCTTTCACACAGTATCAGAGGTAGCAGTGGAAGCGAGTACAGTTTTATCATTTAAAAAACAGTTAGACAGGTACATGGCTGGGATAGGTACGGAGGGATATGGATGAAGCACAGGCAAGTGGGACTAGTTTAATTGTGAAAACTGGACGGCATGGGCTAGTTGGGCTGAAGGGCCTGTTTCCATGCTGTAGGCCTCTATGACTCTAAGGCTCCCTCAGACTGACGAGAGGTTTTCATAAGCAGGAAGGAGTTGTTGTAAAGTTACATTTATCCCAGACCATAAAGATCACTCTGAAGCTGTGTTCTTGCATTTCCACTTGTGACATTCATAGACCTCAGCATGTCAAGCTGCCACAGCTGTTCTGGCCTTGTCCTCTCCCTCCTCCCCCATGACCATTCAGGGCTGGATCCTCGGGGACCATTGGTAACCCACTCAAGACATGAAGTAAACATGGCCCTCTACAATGCCACTTCTCTCTTGTTCTACACACGAGGTACGTAGCAAGCTTTCACCAGGCCCTGGAAGCCTAAGTCAAGCTTGCCAAGAGCTGCTGACCAATCAGAGGCCATCAGCTGTCTTGAACAGCCATGCCACTGGAGATATGGTGGTTGTTACCCAGTACAAATCTTAGGATCGTACTTGGATCACCGTCCTGAGGTGAATGATGGCAAAAGCAGGCTCGTGGGGTGGAATTATGGGGAGTAGAAAATAATAGGGATTAGCAGCAAGGGCAGAGGTGTGTCTTAGAGTGAAGTCCTCCCTTCCCAAGGCAAGGTCCCCTCAATTAGGCAGTTACTGACTTGGAATGAGGACCTATTACTGGAAGCTCGCAAGCAACTCTATATGTTGTACCTCGTTGTCCTGGGGTAATACGGGTCTCAATGAAACGACACTGTTCAGGAAACATTAATTCCCACTTGATGGCCTCAATTGTTGGTGGGACATGTGACCCTCACATCACAGCCTTCATCAACATGGAGGTGGGCACCCTAAACACCTGCATGATAAAATGCCCTCTGACACCCAACTTGCCATGGTAGATGGCACAGGTTCTGCCCATGACTGCTGATGCTGATGAGGAATCCTTTCCGAATCTCTGGAATTTCACAATGCCACCCATGGGTTTGCACAAGCCACGATCATGCCCTCCTAAAGACTGAACTTTTTTACCTGTACTGATCCAGTGGAGCTCTGCTGTATGCTCCAGAGAAGGTTTCTGTATTATTGCCATTTCTTGTGCTATCCACAGCCTTTTAGTGCAGATTGGGTTGGGATGGGTTTTAGCCTAGCATCCGAAAGATTTAGAGGATTCTTGTTCTCATCTGATGAGAATTGTGCAGAGGAGGGGGCAGAGCATGTAGAGTTGGTTAACGAGCCTCATGCACCACAGACTAAACCATTGGGAGACATGCAAAGAAGGCTTATATTCTGACCAATATCCATCACCCACGATTGCCACACTCTGTCAAGTGCAACCTTGCTGTCAAGTGCAGTAGGTCTCACTCTACCTCACCTCACCTCACCTCACCTCATTCTCTCATCATCAAAAAGCAGAGGAAAATGTCAAAGATTCAGGAGAAATATCAACGTTGGTCTTAACTTCATTTACATTTAGGTATCACTGTAACAACTTACCTCTGTTAGAAGCAGGAATCCTTCAAGTGCCTCCTTCTCTAAATGAGTTTGTGCTCCCATTGAAAACTGCACAGACTTGGCAGTGCAGTGGGATGGGCGTGGGCGTGCTTGATCACCTGTAAGGCGGACAGCCCCATTTTCAGGTATCTCTGCAAGGGTGTGTCCAATATACATCCAAATGTTCAGCCTGGGTAGCAGTTGTCAGTCCATACTATAGTAGTATATATTTGTCATTTTATTCATTTCTAAATACAGTCATTGTAAAGACTTGTAAAATTCATTTTCACAGGTAATGAGCAGAAAAGCACGAAGATTATTGGATAAGAGTAAAACGTTTCATGTAACGTGTGGTTTTACTATATGTTTATTTTCAGGTAAGAAACTCCTGGCTTGTCAAAGTATTAGAGAATTGTAGTGTATTGTAGTGTAGCAGGCACCCCTTCCCAATGCCAGATCCCTCGAGTCCACATATTGAAGGTTGTGTATTGGTATGGATAGAGAACTGGCTCATGGGCAGAAAACAGCAAGTGGGGATCAGAAGTTCTCTTTTGGGTTGACAACCTGTGACCAGTGGGGTCGTACAGGGATCAGCACTGGGATTGCAACTGTTTACAACATATATTAGTAACTTGGAGGAAGGAAGTGAATGTACCATAGCCAAATTTGCAAGTGTTACAAGAATAGCTGGAAAGGCAGGTTGAGAGGGATACAAACAATTTACAGAGAGAAATTGATAGGTTAAGTACATGGGTGAAAAGTTAGAAAATGGAATATAATGTGGGAAAATGTGAAGTTGTTCAATTTTGAAGGAAGAACAAAATATTATTTAAATGGAGCAAAGTGCAAATAGATGCAACACAAATAGACATAAGTGTTCTTGTGCGTGAAATATACAAAGCTAGAACACAGGTGCATCAGGTAATCAGGAATAATGGAATATTGGCTCTTTATTTCAAGACGGTTGTAGTATAAGAGTAGGGTTGGCTTACTGCAACTGTAAAAGGTGCTGGTGAGACCACATTTGGAGTAGTATGGGCAGTTTGGTCCCCTTATTTAAGGAAAGACATCATATTCATTGTAGACAGTTCAGAGAAGGTTTACTAGGATGATCCCTGGTATGGTCTTCTGAGCAAAGACTGAACAGGTTGGGACTCTACTCACTGGATTTTTATAGAAGGGTAGGTGAGCTCATTGAAACATACAGGATTCTTAAGAGGCTTGACAGGGTAAATGCTGAGAAGATGTTGTCCCACATGGGAGAGTCTAGGACTAGAATTAAGAGGCATAAATTTAAGACTGAGATAAGGAGGAATTTCTTTTCTGAGGTTTAAGAGTCTTTGTAACTCCTTACCACAGAGACCTGTGGGAGCAGAGTCCTCATGTATAATTAAGGCTGAGATAGGTAGATTCTTGATCAGTAGGGAAATCTAGGGTTATGGGGAAAGGTCGGGAAAGTGTACATGAACAATGTTGGATCAGCCATGATCCTATTGAATGGTAGAGCAGGCTTGAGGGGCCATACGGCCTACAGCTGTTCCTGTTTCCTGTGGTCTTATGGAATGAGGTAAACCTTCCAGGAAAACTGCAGGCACTTGATGAGGTATCGAAAGTAATTCTGAAAACTAAAATCTTGTTGTATAGTGGGTAGCATATTGACATGGATAGAAGATTGGTTGCCTAATAGGAAACAGTACGCATAAATAAATCTTTTTCAGGTTGATGACATATTATGAGTGCTCTGCTCCAGGGATTAATGTTGGGGCCTTCACCGTTTACAACTTAAATAAATGACTTCGAGACGACGGTGGATATTGTTGTTGAATTTTCTGACAACACAGGGATAGATAGGAAATAAGTTATGAAGACAACTTAAGGAGATTACGAAAAAATATAGTGAGATTAAGTGAATGGGGGGATATCTGGCAAATGAGGTATAATGTGGGAAAATGTGATATTGTCTATTTTGGTAGGAAGAGCCAAAAAGAAGCATATTATCTATATGGTGAGAGAATGCAGAGCTTTCAGATGAAGAAGGATCTGGGGTCATTGTGCATGAATTGGAAAAGATTAGTATGCAGACACAGTGATTGACAAGGAAAGCTGATAGAATATTACCTTTTATCATGAGGGAAGTTGAATAAAAGTAGGGAAGTTATGCTTCAATTGTACAGGGCATTGCTGAGACCACATCTGGAGTTTGGTGCATAGTATTTGTCACCTTATTTAAGGAAGGATGTAAATGTGTTTAAAGTTAGTTCAGAATATGTTTACCAGTCTAATTACTAAAATGGGGAGGTTACCTGCTGCAGAAAGATTGGACAGGACAGACCTGTGTCCACTGGAGTTTAGAAGAATAAGAGGTGACGTGAATGAAAGATATGTCTCTGAGGGGTCTTGACAGTATAGATGTGCACAGGATGTTTCCTCTAATTGGAGAATCTAGAATTTGGTCTGTATTCAAAAATCATACGTTACCCATTTATAACAGGTGGGAAGAAAATTTTTATCTCCAAGCCATAGTCTTTGGAACTCTCTTCCTGGAAAGGTGGTGGAAACAGAATCTTTGAATTATTTTAAGGCAGAGGTAGGTAGATTCTTGTTAAGGTTATCTGGGTAGGCAGGATTGCAGATTTGAGGTTGCAAATAGATCAGCCATGAAGCTATTGAATGATAGAGCAGACTCGAGGGGCTGAACAGCCTACTCCTGCTTCTTATAATCATATGATTGTTATGTGATGTGGGTTTGTTTGTTTCCCACACAGTCCCGTGCTTGCCGCTAGGTTAATACCATGGCTGCAGGAGGAGTTCCTCAAGGACATTAATCACCAAATTAAGAGCCAGGATTGGTGACAGGGTAGGAAGATTGTCCATCAGCCCTCCCCTATAGATTTAATTGGGGTGGAGACAGGAAGGTAGTGCAATCCCCATTTACCTCTCCTCTCCCAAACTAAATGTTCTTCTAACTTCAAACCCATATGTGGGAGGGGATTGCATTCAAAGGATCCAAAGAACTTGGCCTGGAGAGGTCTCAGGCTAAAGCCAACTTTTGAAATGAGACACATCCTGTGTTTCAATAAATTGCTTTCAAGTTTCTTCTACTGAATCATTATGAAATACCACACTTCGGAGTTGACAAATTTTTGTTCTTTGTGTGAACAATGTAATAATTCATCCTTGAACTCTTGACAATTTAAGCAAATTCAGTGTTCAAAAGTTTATAGACTGATTAAGTGGAGTATTTCACTGAAGTAACAGTTTTTTGCCTTTTGTATGTAAGTAATTAGTGGGTAGTAATGTCTTTCATTCACTCTTGATTTCAGTAGTCCATGTTGCAGCTCACATGGTCAATGCCCTGAACTTTTCTTTGTGCTACAGTGAAGACTTTCCAGCTCTCAATGTCGCTCACTATCGGGATGAGGTCAGTGCCACGCTGTGCTTATTATACTTTGTCACACAGAAAGATTGTTTTAAAGCCAGCTGTTAATCTCATTGTAGTGATGAGCTAAATGCAATGATTTTAATTGCTCACTCTACTGTGGGAGGACATTATTATTCCTGATCAGTTTAGCGTTTGTGTTGTGGAATATAATTTAAATGATGCAGTAAGGAGTGAAGATAATTTTTTTTTAGTGAAATGCTCACTTCTGTTTTACAAAAGCATTACTGGTCTGAATTTCTGATTTTGAGTTAATGATTTTGTTACAAAGTTATGTAATCGTGAATTGGAAGGCAGGAAGCTAGAATTTGTTGGTTTAAAAAAAATAAGTGGGGAAGAGTGCATAGCCCCTTTACGAGGTGATGTGCTTCTCTAAGTTTGGAGATTTAAATGAAAATATGTCTATAAGCAGCCAAAAGATGTGCAGCCAGTTCTGAAATGGAAACATGTATCAATTGGCTATGTGATTGGAAACCTCAGGCTTGTTTTAATGTTTTGGCAACTAGGTGGAATCAGCCAATTAATTTAAACCAAGCAGTTAGCAACTAAAAGCCAATTGAATTTAAATCTAATGATTTTGACAACCTCAGACCAATGCTATTGTAAGAAAATCGACGTCATCCAAGGTATACAAGGAGAGGGTTTTTGAAAATTGGTGTGAAGCAAACCGTCATCTGAGAAATAAGCATGTAGCTCTCACAAGAAATTACTTATCTCTCTAAGAAAGCACCATCAATCCATGAAAGGTACCATGGCACTTTTAGCTAAGAGTCCTCACAGAAGACTTCACAGAGAAAACATGTCTGACAGCTAGCTCAACAGAAGAAAGGCATTCTTGACTTAAGAACAGCAGAAGAAAGACATGTAGACTTTGAGAGAATAAGTTTTAATTTATTTTCTTATTATTTGGGTTTAAAAAGTGGGACTTGTGTTTATTGGAACAGCATACCAGTAGAATTTAGTTCACTTAGGGAATAGGAGTTATGTGGGAATTGTTTGGTTTGTTAATGCTGTTAATTTGCTCACAGTTAGGATTAAATAAATAAACTGTTACTTGTTGCTTATAAAGTGAATATCAGGAATTTTCTTTCAGTTAACCTCCCCTTCTCTTTGCCAATTTGTTGAATGAGATGAAAGATGCCTGGTCTGCCATGACCTCATGCAATCTTCCGCTCATTCCCATATTAATTATGCGTCTGGCTTTATGACATTCTTATCTTGAAATGACACTTCAAGAGAGGGAATACTGTGTGTCAGTGCTGGGACCTTCTATATTTATGCCATTGGTGATATATTTTATGCCCAGCTGCATTGTACTTCAGACTCCACAGCTTCGGAACCGCCCCTCACACTGGTGTGCAATCATTATTGCTGAGTAAATAGCCCAGGAAGAACCTGCCACCCTGCTTTACTGACAGAGACCAGAGGGTGCTGGTGAATAGTGTGGTGGAAAGGAGGGCAGTGTTTTCACCTGCTGACCAGCAAAGGAAGATATACCACCAGAACTAGCCAGCTTGCACCAAGATAGCAGCCCGGATCAGTGTTGTGTTTGAGGCAAAAGAAATGCACTAATGTGTGGGAAGGTTGTCAGTGATCTTTTACACTCGCAAGGGAAAGTGCTCCCATTTTCTATCTGCGAACTCCAACTTGGGTCTACGACTCACTCTAACTCAGCTGCTGCATATGCATCTCACAAGGCTTGTGGACCACAGCTCTCACTATTACATGTGTCATGCCCACTCAGTTGCTCTGGTCCACCTCAACACCTCAAATGAATAACTCTTCCTGTCCTCTGCATTTCCTGAGCACTAACGAAGGATACCTTGTCAGTTTACCTGTTCCTGCATCACTACTGATTACTCTTCCATCCATTTCCATCATACTTATCATACCCTTTGTGTCATTACAGAAACATTTCAACAACATGTGAGCCTAGAGGGCCAAGACCATTGGAGAATTGTTCAATGTAGAGTCTACACTCAAAATTAGCAGAAAATCGTCAAGCTGCTTGGAGAAAAGCATGACGACTCAGAGGGATGGGGCACCCTCAATCTCCAACAGCTCAGTAAGCTTTGTTATACTGTGCTGCACTGTTATCCCATCACCACCAAAGCTAACTCATTCTTCATCTTCACCAGCCTTTATCCCTCTTTTACAAATAATTTCATCTCCTCCATTAGAAACACTAGTGGTACACAGCAAAGCTTGATCAAAAAAGTGCCCGTGCAGGAGACCTTTGCCTCAACCTAAAGAGGAGGCCACTCAACCCTCAGGAAGTGCCTGTAAGCCTTCCACCTGCACCCTCCACCAACTGAAAGACTTTCACTTCAATGCATTCACTATGTGGATTAGACTTGGAAGCACAATCTGGCGAGCACACCACTGACATGTGTCTGCAGTTGGCTGAGGAAGAAATACCCCAGGCCTTTGGCCTGCAGAAGACTGCCAGAGACCAAGAACCTGCTCATATCCAGGCAGAAGATGACCCTATGCTTGCAGCCATTTTTTTTTTTGAAAATGCACCGGCAGACAGATACTGAATGGAAGAGTGTACCAGCTTTATCAGTACTGTGCTGGCAACACTATATGTGCCTCTGCTGTCTCCATGGAGAAGTTGGTGACTGCAATGGTCCAACACCCTCCATGTTTGCCAGATATGTGAATGGGCATGCAATCTATCATTGTAGCCAACAAGTGTTTGACATCAATGGCAAGAGGAGAAGAGTTTGAGGAACCTTGACCTCACTGACAGGAAGGGTACCTGGAAGGAGACAGGCTGATGGCTGTGGCCTAATCCCCACACTGCAAAGACATGGATACATGGGCTCTGGCAAGACTTAGCACCTGACTGACAATGATCAAACCCCTGGACTGTAATTAGATGGGCCCTTTGACTCTTTGCTGATCCCCCTGACTGACTGACTGTAGCCCTATTTCACCCTACTAAGCCTGATCCCCTTTGACTTTCAGACATGCTCATTTGATTAAAGCACATGCATTGAGTTTGCTGTGCAAGCTATTGGCACATACTGGACATGGCATTGCATGATGCCATACAACAACATGTGCCCCCCCCACCCCCCACCGATGTTCATTGCTCCCGACAATGACAATCTGCCCATCTTTTTATCTATGCAAAAATGCAGTGCAAGCCACAGAGAATGACTGCATCTATGTAAGCACAAAGTGGGGGAGTGCAATTAAATGAAGGATAAAAAGATAAACGGATGTGCTCTGGTCTCTCCTGTTTGCAAGATCACCCCTCAAATTTGGAGGGATAATTAGAATAATGGGCCAAATGTTCACAAGATAGGAGTACAAATAGCCTGAACTCCAAATTAGTCTCAAGGGTCATGGTTTCTGCAGTATACCTATGTATATTGGATTTCATAGTAAATCATTAAATAATAGAAACTTTAAAAAAAATGAAGTTAGGAGCCATTAGGTACATTTGTTTAAATGCCTGAGTAATCCCTGTTGACCAAACAACTTCGCAGAGGCATGCAAATCCTAGGTGTCCATAAGCTCCAAAGACTTCATCTTTAGGGCTAAAGCGATGTGTTAGCTGGTCTGAGAGAAGATGTGATGATATGGTGACGCTGGTGGTTTGCCGATTGTTGATTTTCATCGATGCAGTGTGGAGCCAGATCCTCTCTGTGGAAACATGCAATGATATTATGGTGAACGCAAGTTAGTTGATGCCCAAGACAAACATTCAGTGAGCTGAGCTGCCAGGTACCCATTCTGACTTTCATGTTGAGAGTTTGCACGACCGTAGGAAGTTGGGCTAATACGATTTGCAAATGGTTTGAAATAGTGAGGTTCTGAAATAGCCATTTAAAGCTGAAGGTGAAATCGAGAAACATTTTCTCAGTAATGAGATTCTGCATTTTTTTTCAGTCTCACCGTGTTTTCTCAGCTTTCTCGCCATTTCCCATGTCACTCCAGGAAGGGAAAATTGTGCCCATTGAACGGAGAAACACAGGCTACCCTTCTTCTTTATGGTTACAGTGAGGCATAATAGGTTGTATCATAACCTTGCTTCATTTTCCTGGGTCAGGACTCATTAAACATGGCAGCTTGCTAACTTACTGGAGTAGACCAAGGTGTCCCTGTGGAAGGCTGACAAGCGACGGGAGGGTTCGGGAATATGTGTCTGATGGTGGCACCCTGCTGGAGGTGGTGGAAATGGCAGGCAATAATCCTTCAGATGTGGATGCTGGTAAGGCCAATGAACTCAGGGTGTGGATAGGTAAGTGGGACTAGGATATTATAGCTATTACAGAAGTGTGGCTAAGGCAGCTTAATGTGCCAGGGTACAGGTGCCCTTATTCAAGAAGGGCTGTAGAGAAAAACCTTTGAATTATAAACCAGTGAGCTTAACATCTGTGGTAGATTGAGGGATAAATGAAGCATTTAGGAAGACGGGGTTTGATTAGGAGTAGTCAGCATGGCTTCATGCGTGGGAGATCATGCCTCACAAATTTGTTAGAGTTCCTTGATGAAGTGACCAGGAAGGATGATGAGGACAGGGCAGCAGACATAGTCTGTATGGATTTCAGTAAGGCCTTTTATAAGGGTCCACCTGATAGGCTGCTTTGGAAGGTTAGCTCGCATGGAATCTAGGGAGAGTTGGTGCAAATTAGATACCCAATTGGCTTGATGGTAGGAAGCAGAGAATAATAGTGAAAGGATGCTTGTCGGACTGGAGGCCTGTGACTAGTGGTGTGCCTCAGGGGTCGGTACTGGGCCCATTGCTGTTTGTTATCTATATCAAAGATTTGGATGAGAATGTACGAGGCATGATTAATAATTTTGCAGATGACACTAAAATAGGTGGTATCGTGGACAATGAGGAAGGTTATCAGAAATTGCAGCAGGATCTTGATCAGCTGGGGAAGTGGGCCGAGAAATGGCAAAAGGAGTTTAATATAGATAAGTGTGAGGTGTTGCATTTTGGAAAGTCAAATCAAGGTGGGAGTTTCATGGTGAATGGTAGGGTCTTAACAAGTGTGGTGGAACAGAGTGACCTTGGAGTTCAGGTGCACGGTTCTCTGAAAGTGGAGACACAGGTAGATAGGGCAGTGAACAAGGCTTTTGGCACGCTGGCCTTCATCAGTCAGGGCAATGAGTACAGAAGTTGGGAAGTTATGTTGCAATTTTATAGGACACTGGTGAGACTGCACTTGGAGTATTGTTCAGTTATCGTCACCTTGTTATAGGAAGGATGTTATTGAACTGGAAAGAGTTCAGAATAAATTTACAAGGACATTGCCAGGACTCTCAGGACTGAGTTATAGGGAGAGGTTGGACAAGCTAGGATTTTTTTCTTTGGCACATAGGAGACTTAAGGGGGATCTTATCGAAGTGTATAAGATCATGAGAGACATGGATAGGGTGAATGCACTCAATCTTTTTCCCAGGGTTGGGGAATCAAGGACTAGAGGGCATCAGTTTAAGGTAAGAGGGGAAAGAAAGCATGGGAACCACAGGGTGGTACGCACATGGAATGAGTTGCCAGCAGAAGTGCTTGAGGTGGGTACATTAACAACATTTAAAAGGCATTCGGACAAATATATGGATAGGAAATGGGGTTAGCATGGATGGACATTTTGGTCAGCATGAACCAGTTTGGGCAGAAGGGCCTGTCTTCATGCTGTAGCTCTATCTCTCTTTCTCTCTATGGTGGAAAGATGCGTGAGGAGGAGGTGGACCCTATCGCTGTTGTGGGAGAGAAGAGAAGGTGCCGGGGCTGAAGTGTGGGAGGTGAATTGGACATGGCTGAGGGTCCTGTCAATCGTAGTGGTGAGGAATCTTCTGCTGAGGAAGAAGGTAGATGTCCCAGAGAACCCCTGGTCAAAGTTGGCTTCATTGGAACAGTTGTGACAGAGAAATGGGAGAATGGAATTCAGTCTTTATAGAAAGCAGGGTGTGAGGATGTACAGTCAAGGTAACTGTGGGAATTGATGGGTTTGTAGAGGATACTAGCAGCCAGCCTATCCCCAGAAATGGAAACCCCGATGATGAGGAAGGGAGGAGTCATTAAGTCATACAGCACAGAAACATAGCCTTCAGTCCAACCAATTCACACCAATCATAATCCCAAACTAATCTAGTCACACCTGCCTGCACTTGGCCCATATCCCTCCAAACACTTTTTATTCAGGTTGTAACTGTGCCTGCATCCACCCTTCCACTAGAAGTTCATTCCACACATGAACCACGCTCTGTGTCTAAAAAAAATTGCCCCATGCCTTTTCTAAATCTTTCTCCTCTCACCTTACAAATATGTGCCCTGGTCTTGAAATCCTCCACCCTAGGGAATAGATCCCTGCCATTCACCTTATCTATACGCCTCATGATTTTATAAACCTCTTTAAGGTCACCCCTCAACCTCCTATGCTCCAGTGAAAAAAGTCCCAGACTATCCAGCCTCTCCTTATAACTCAAACCCTCCATTCCCGGCAACATACTGGCAAATCTCTTCTGAACCCTCTCTAGCTTATTAATACCCTTCCTATAACAGGGAGTTCAGAACTGGACACAGTACTCAGAACTGGACCAAGTGAAGGTGAGAGCGGGTTGGAGTTTGGAAATAAAATTGATAAACTTTTACAAGTCTGGGGCGAGAGAAGGAAGCAGCACTGATGATGCAATCAATGTATCAGAGAAAGAGTTGTGGGTGGGGGCCAGAGTAGGACTGGAACATGTAAAGTTCCACGTACCCCACAAAAAAGCAGGCATAACTGGGGCCCATGCAGGTACCCATTTTCATCCCTTTGCCCTGAAGTAAATGGGAATAGTTAAAGGAGAAGTTGTTCAATGTGAGAATGAGCTTGGCCGATAGGGGTAGATCAGGACACTTCAGGTTAGGAGAGAGTAGACTTTGTTTTCCAAATCTTGTTCCAATTCTTGGTGGTTATCGTTCCAAATTTAAGGTTGAATTATGGAGAATAATCTAATCCATCATCTTGCACATCAGTAAAGAAAAGGTTTTCATGAGAATCCTTTTTATTTGAAGAAGTATTAGACACTGCTGAAAGGAGATATGAAGTCTAAGCTTTTGGTCTTGCACTTATCAGGACTGAAATATAAGAACACCAACTTAGAAAAGAACAATTTAGACCATATAATATTATTATCGCACAAATTGTTGCTTCCTGTCCAAGTTGATTTTGTACTTCAATTTTATCTTTTCAGCAATGTTTTACGTACTCTACTATTAAGCAATGTTTTTGACAATTATAGATTTTGCTAATTTGCTGCAAGGTGTTTTAATATGCTGAATGTTCAGATTCTGATATCTCTTAGTAGTGATAAGTGCTGCCTTCAGTTTGTGCAGAATCAATCCTGTTCATCTATGCTTTTCATACACACTCTTATGAATGGGGCTGCACAGCAATCTGTTTAAATTATTTGGGTATTTTGTAACTGAGATTACTCCTTTACGTGATTTGAAAAACTGAAATTGTGCTTTCTTGGCATGAAATCCCTGTGCGTGTGTGTGTGAGATTGTGTTTGTGTGTGTGACAGCTGTGTTATGGTAACTGGGAAAAGTCAACTGCCATGAATTCAAACCATATGATGGTGTTTTAGGAATTACATTCCATAGTGCTGTCCAATTCTTTTTATATATCTTTATTCTTGTATATCTCTCTATACTTCTATTTGTTTGTTTAGTAATGAATGAAGAGGCATGTCTTGAGTTCTGTTTTAAGGAAGGGAAAATGTGCGTTGTGGTTTTGTGGTCATGTCCTAATGAGGAGCTGATGTACAAAAGTCATTTTTAAAAAATCAGGCTTGAAGTCTTTAAAGACATAAGTATGTCCCGTCAACATTCCAGTTTTGCTGATTCACTGTGAGGATCCACAGGTGGGCTTCACTTGCCAAAAAAACCCCTCTTTTTCTTACCATTATTATCTGCTTGTATTTTTCTCCTTGTTTCTAAGTTTCCAGCATAAGTTATTCCTTTCTTTTCTCCCTTAGATTTCTCTTTCTCAATGTACTGAGTAATGCTGGCATACTTTTTTTAATCCCTGAGCTTTCTTGTAGTGAGGCATGAGATGGAGTTGAGGGCACACTTATGCATCTAATTCTGGTTTACTTTTGCATAATAATTGTTTTTCTACAAGAATAAAACTCTGTTAGTTTGGATGCTCTTTAAACTTTTACTTTTTGAAACCCAATATTTGACTGTGGATATGCCTCAAATTACTTATGTTATTCTTTGACAAGGTCTTTCTTTAACCTTTTGTATCATTTGAGAAATTTAAACACTAATATTTCTGGTTTTGTTATCAACTTAGTTACAGTGGTTTAAAAAATGCAAAAAAAAAAAAAGTTGTGACATTTGCTTTGTTCACAAAATCTGTTTGAGACAGAAAGTACATCAAAAGATTTATACACAAGTGAAGAAATAAAGTTCAACAGTCAAATAGATCAGTCAGTATATGCATGAATGGTGGGGCAGATTGACTTAGGGGATAATAACTGGAGAAAAATCTAGCTTAGCTTTGATTTCATTTTCTTCTTTCAGCTGACTGTTTTGAGGCATAAGAAATAAATCCGATTGATTTTTTTTTTAGAAAACTTTGCCTTTCTTAGATAATTATATCATCTTATTTATATAATAAAACAATAAAGCACATCATTGTTGCCAAAAATGATTTGGGTAACTGTCAATGTCTGTAGACTTTTGGAGGTACCTAGTAATGGATTTGGTAATGCATTGTCTGGTGCACTCTCAGAGACTTTACACTGTTCAAAATTTTTTAATATTCCTGTGGATTTCCTTATCAGAAGAAAGTGATATGAAGAGAACAATGTTAAATGAGACAGATTAACATTTAGAGTAGTGACTTTAAGGATATGACCATTTTTTTTTTCTCTCCAGGATCCCAGGAAGATTCTCTTCACAACACGTGAGTTTCTTTTCTGTGTAGTTGCTTTTCCAATAGCAACAAATGACTATATTATTGAAATGGGGTACAGTTGGTGCTGAGATCTAATTTTGTATGAAATTATTGAGCAGAATTTTGTTGAGGTGTCAAGGATCTCAGTTGTTGGCTGAACTGCTGGAGAAAACCAATCCAGAGGCCAGAATACTAGTGGGCCTTCCCCTGAAAACAAGACCATGCAGGCAAGTCTTCCCTACTGAAAGCTGCCAGATAATCAGAGGCTGCCAGCTCTTCTGTTCACACAGGGGAAGCCATGGCTGCTGTAGAAAAAGAAAATACCCACCGAGGTCCCAGAATCATGGAGTGATCCAGACAAAAGGTTGGTAATGTGAGGTAGGGGGCTGTCAGGGTGTGAGTAGAGGGACTGGGCAACAAGAGCTCTCAGCAATCCCAGCATCCATCCACTTCCTGAAGTCCAGTTCCTCAATCAGGCATTGAGTACCTTTTTGATCGAGGGACCCCTCCCCACCTGAGGTAAAAAGTTGGCTACCCTGTTTTAGCTGTCATGCCATGTGGCAACAAGTCCATCTCTCATTGGGTTAATACTAGAGGTGATAGAATGAGGTCTTTAAATGGTGGTTAACTGCTAGTGGCTGTGGGTCATGAAGATTGACCATGGGCCTTAGCAGAACTTAATTCTGGAGGAGGTGGGAAGATGGAAGTGAACAGGTTATGCTACACTCCACCTAATTAAAAGCCCGTCCCACCTCCAATATTGCCACCAATGACAGCAGAACATTCTGCATTGGGAAAACAAATCAAAACTGATCATATTTATCTGGTTTTTGGCACTGACTGATTTAAAGAATTATCCTTTGTATTGTATGTAATGGTTTGTCCCGAGATTAAGCTGGTTGGGAGTAAATCGTGCCAGATATCTAGTTTACTACTATTGTTACAAAGTGTACCAAGGTTCTATTTACATGAGAAGTTATGCTTTGTCGATTATTAAAAGAAGGTTTTAAAAAAAAATCCAGATCTTAATCATCTTTTTGAGACGTAGCAGTTTTAATTATTTCCCGTTTTTGATTGTAACAATTGCTATGTCTTCTCTGAAGGAGATTTGACAAGCTTAATGGTCCTGTTATCAACGTTCCTATAAATGGGCTCTTACTGATTTGCCACATATTGTTATCTCTGTTCTGTGAAGCTGTTTATTTGATTTCATGATTTCAGTAACTACTAATCTGAAGTAATTCCATTGTCAATAACTTGTTATTTAGTTCCAGGAGTAACTGGATTTTTCATGGTACTGGTGCTTTTCCTAATGTGTACATCTTCATCATATTCATTAAGGTAAGAATGACCATTGACAACATTATCTTGATGGTCAATTGAGAATGAGTGAAGTAACTATTAAAAGTTAACTTTTCCACATTTGTGTGTTGTTAATGTGTGCTGTCGTCCTTTTTGCTTTGCAGGTTTTCCAACTTCGATATCTTTTGGTATATACATAACCTCTTCATAGTATTCTACATTTTACTTCTGCTTCATGTGACTGGGTAAGTAACGTTTTTCAAACATTTTATTTAGCAAGCCAATGCTATGTTGGTCCAAAGACTATAACAATGGCCACATGTTGCATATGTCTAAGAATTGTAATTAGTTAAAACTATTGGTAATTGTAGTGATTGTGACGAGGTCAGCCAGGTGGACCTCAAAGAATGAGTTCCCAGATTGAAGCTGTTTATTTGGTCCAAACAGGGAATCAGATAAAAATAGGACTGTCAGACATGCTGTCACTGAGAGCTTGCTCTGAGGGATCTTGATCAGTGTCAAGCACTTTCCACATGTAAATAAAAGGTGACTTGATGACTGGATACCAGCCTCTGTAGGATTATTTCAGTAAGGCAATGCATTTTCTTAGACAGCATTTGGATATGCTAAACTATCTTACAAAAGCAAAATACTGTAGATGCAGGAAATATAAAATAAAAATGGAAAATGCTGTCAATACTCAATAGGTCTGCTGAAATCTGTGAAGATAGAGTTCATGTCTGTTTGAACTTAGCAATGAGTTCAAGTGGCCCTGCTGAATTTGGGATTCTCACATGTGGGAGCCATTTTGCTTTTTTCCCCAACCCAGTGCAAATGAGATTTTTTTGGAAATGGAGGTGGGACTTCTGGATCAAGTTTCAACCTGCCACTTTGTAAGGTCTCTGGAGTCTCAACCCCTCTGCAAAAAAAAACCAGAGTCCGTTGGATTGTTTCTGATGCATGAGGTGTTCTTAAAATGCAATGACCCTGATTTTTATGTCAAAATAATGGTATGGCTAATTGCAGTCATTGTTATTTAAGCACAAGTAGTACAGTTTCCAGATGTGTGATTAAACGTCAATCCACAAAACTTAAATGTTATGTTGCATTGTATATAGTTAACTATGTGAAAATGACATCCAGCTGCTTATTCACCCCTGAAATACTTGAATAGTATGAAGTTGCTGCTTTTATATGGTTGATGTAAAACTAACATGTCACAGAAAATTAATTTGTATTATTACAAATGAAACCCACCCTTTAACGATGTGATATAAAATATTTTTTAATCAGCCTGTTCAGACATGTAATTATACACCTTTAGGGAAAATGGTACTTGAATACAGATCTTTAAACCCAGACACTGGGACACTGCATAACAGTACACCCTAAACAATATGATACATGTTGAGAAATTTTATTGCCATTGAAAATCAACTAATAATGGTAAATGCTGTGAAAACTGACAAAATGATCACAAAATACAATTAATCTGTGCCATCTGTAGTTTGGTAATCTTTATTAAGGAAGGATATCCTTGTTTTATGGGGGTGTGTAATGAAGGTGCTTTAGAGGGAGTGCAATGAAGGTTTACCACACTTATTTCTGGGATGACAGACATAAACAACGAGGAAAAATAAAGTAGACTAGGTCAATCTTCTTTGGAGCTTATAACTTTAAAGGTGATGGCCTAGTGGTATTGTCACTGACTGTTAATCCAGAGATAATGTTCTGGGAACCTGGGTTCAAATCCTGCCATAGCAGATGGTGGAACTTTAATTCAAAAAAGTCTGGAATTAAGAGTCTAACGATAAATCCATTTGTCGAATGTTGGAAAAACCCATCTGGTCCTTTTAGGGAAGGAAATTGCCATCCTTACCTGGTCTGACCTACATGTGATTCCAGACCCACAGCAATGTGGTTGACTCTTAACTGCCCTCTGGGCAATTAGGAATGGGCAATAAATGCTGCCTGGCCAGTGACACTGCGAATGAAGTAAAAAAAAATATATAGTGCTCCTAAGGAGCTTGACTGAGTAATTTGGGATCATACTTACGTCGGACGGAAAGTCCAGAACTTGAGTTCACAGTCCTAAAATAATGGGTCAGTCATTTAGGATCAAGTTGAGGAGAAATTTCTTCATTTAAAGGGTATAAATCTTTAAAATTCTCTTCCTCTGTGGAGAATAGTAGATGCTTTGTTATTGACTATATTAAATTTAGAGAGTGACAGATTTTGGATGGTAAGGGAATCGGGCTGATCATCACCACCACTGACCAAGTTTGTCAAGTCCTAAAGGACATAACTGTTAGACTTGGTCTATGACAGGTGGTGAGGAAACCAACAAGAGGGAAAAAGCTACTTGAGCTTGTACTCCATAATCTACCTGTTGCAGATACTTCTGCCAATTACAATATGGATAGGAGTGACTACTGCAAGTCCTTGAGGAGTTGAAAGAATGTCCTCACGTTGAGAATACCCATCATCACCATTGCATTAAGTGGGATAGACTTTGAATAGAACTAGCAATTCAAACCCAGGCATCCATGAGATACTGTGGGTCAGCAGTAATAGTGGAACTGATTCCAACTGCAACCTATAAGCTCAAGGCATGGCATATCACCTATTCTACCATTACCATAAAGCTGAGGAAGATTAAATTTGTTTCAATGAAGATTGCTAGAAGGCATTTCAGGAGTGGCACCAAGCACACCTAAAAGTGAGGTGTCAACTTGGTGAAGCTCGAACATAGGACTATTTGCAGGCAAAATAATGTAAGCAGCAAGTGATAAGACAGGGCTAAACTATATCACAACCATTGTATCAAATCTAAGCCCTGCAGTGCTTCTACATCCAGTTGTAATTGGAATAACTAACAGAAGATGAAGACTCCACAAATATCTCAATCCTCAACACTGGGAAAGCCCAGCAGATCATTGCAAAAGATAAGGCTGAAGTCTTTTGCATCTGTCTTTTGCCACAAGTGACAAGTGGATGATCCATCTTGTTCTCCTCCCGTGGTCACCAGCATCATAGGTGCCAATTTTCAATTAATTTAGTTCCTGATAGCATTCTGGTTGTGGAGACTTGTGCTTCAGAAGGAGGCATATTGAGTACCATTATGCTGCAGTACAGGCTGGCATCTGTCTGACAGTGTGGAAAATTACCCAGATAGATCCTGTGCGCAAACGGAAGACAAATCCAACCTATCCAATTATTGTCTGAGCACTCCCTTTTTTTAAATCATCAGTGAAGTCTTGGAATTGGTTAGTGGCAGTGCTTTCAAGCAGCACTTGTAAAGGAATACCCTTCTCACTGAAGATCAATTTGTGTTTCAGTAGAGTATTTGGCTCCTGACCACATTACAGTCTTGGTCTAAACATAGACCAAAGTGCTGAACTCTAGAATTGGGATGAGAATGACTACCCTTAACATTATAACAGCATTTGATCAATTATAGCATCAAGCAACCCAAGCAAAGCTGAATCAGGGAAATGTCTCCACTGGTTGGAGCAATACCTAGAACAAAGGAAGTTGGCTGTGGTTGTTAGAGGTTAATCATCTTGGCCATACATGATTTTCTCAGGATAGGGTCCTAGGTCCAACCATCTTTAGTTTCTCCATCAATGACCTTCTTTCCATCATAAGGTCAGAAATGGGGATGTTCCCTGACAGCCGCGCAATGTTCAGTAATGTTTGCAACATCTTTAGACCCCTGAAGCACTCCATGTTCCTAGTATAGGATCACCTTAGTATTCTGGTATAGGAAGAGGCCATTCCACCCATTGTCTTTATCAGAGCTATAAATGCACCTCATTACTTGGTGCTATTCTCTTGCCTTTTCTCCATATTGTTTCTATGCAGTAAGACCTAGACAACATTGAGGTTTGAGCCGATAAATGGCAAGTAACTGTGCAAAACACAAGTGCCGGCAATGATTAGCTCCAACAGGAGAGAATCTAACTATCACTCCTGAACATTCAATGGCATTACCATTCACTGAATCCCCCACTATCAAAGTTCTAGGGGTTGCTATTGACCAGAAACTGATCTGTCCAGCTATGTTACCACTGTGGCTACAAGTTTAGAGGCTATGAATACTGTGGCAAGTAACTCACTTCCTGGCTACCCAATGCCTGACCAGCATCTACAAGGCACAAGTCAGGAGTGTGATAGAATACTCCCATTTGCCTAGATGAGAGTAGCTGCAACAACAGTCAAGCTTGACACCATCTAGAGCAAAGCAGCCTGTTGATTGGCACCACACTCTCCACCTTTAACATTCACTCACTCTCTCCACCACTGATGCACAGTGGCAGCAATATGTATCATCTACTAGATGCACTACAGTGCAATGCGACTCACTCAGGCTTTGTCGGCAATTTTGAAACCTGCAACCTCTACTACTTAGAAGGACAAGAACAGCGTATGCATTGGAGTATCATCAGTTGCAAGTTCTCCTCCAAGTCACACGCCATTGTGACGTGAAACTGTGTGGCTGTTCCTTCATTATCACTGGGTCAAAATTGTGGAGCTCCTTCCTTTCTGCCCCTACACCCTGAAGTACAGCAGCAGTTCACCACCACCTTCTTTAGGGCACTTATGATGAGCAATAAATGCTGACCTCACCGGTGATGCCTGCATTTCATGAACAATTTTGAAAAACAGTCAGTACGGCAGTGAATGAGGAAGACGTGGAAGAGCAGGCAGGCAGTGATGACAATGAAACGCTCGGACCCATAGTCATCAGCTGAAATACTAACACAGTGTGTCCTTTGACACTGCATTTGCATCTAATGGGCCAATGGACAGAATTGACCTTCTACCTATAACTTGCTTACCGGAGGTGAGATTCCACATGAGCTTCACTGCGGGTTGCATATGAAATCTTTAAGAATATTGTTTACAAGATAAACCTGACAGATATGCAAACAATATATGCAGGTCTCCATCACTCTCTCAATGTCAATGAGCATGGAAGAACCTGGCACCAACCCCCCAACTGCACAGAGCATTCCACCCAGCCTTTCTGGTGTGCAAGTGGTAGACAACTGACTTACTACACTTTTGGACTTGACCGTGAATGCAGTGTATTAATGGCTAACTTGTAATTCAATTTCATTGCTTCACTTGCTACTCAGATATTTAGATTGCTGTAGTCACGGTTCTAGTTGCCAGAGTATCAACTAGAATTCATGGCATTAGTAGACAGTGAAGACGGTTTTCTAAGATTACAAAGCGATCTTGATCAAATTGGTCAATGGGCTGAAAAATGGCAGATGGAGTTCAATCTGGATAAATGTGAGGTATTGCATTTTTGGTACAACAAACAAGGGTAGGGCATATACAATTAATGGTAGGGTCTTGGGTAATGCTGTAGAACAGAGGGACCTAGGGGTGCATGTATTTAGTTCTTTGAAGTTTGTGTCACATATAGGCAGGGTGGTTTAAAAAGGCATTTGACAAGCTCATTGCTCAGTCCTTTCAGTATAGGAGTTGGGAAGTCATGTTGAGGGAGTACAGGACATTGTTGAGGCCTCTTCTGGAATACTGTGTCCGGTTATGGCCGCCCAGTTATAGGAAGGATATGATGAAGCTGGAGAGGGTTCAGAAGAAATTTACCAGGATGCTGCCAGGTATGGAAAGTTTGAGTTATAAAGGCTGGTTAGGCTGGGACATTTTTCACTGGAGCGTAGGAGTTTGAGAGGTGACCTAATAGAAGTTTATAGAATAATGAGAGGTATAGACAAAGTTAATGGTAGTTGTTTCTTTCCCTAGAATGGGGGATTTCAAGACTCGGGGGCATGTTCTTTAGGTGAGAGGAGAGAGATTTAAAAGAGACATGGGGGGCAAATTTTTTACACAGGATGCTTCGCATATGGTATGAACTTTCTGAGCAAGTGGTGGATGTTGGTTCAGTCAGTACATTTAAAAGACATTGAGATAATTACATGAACAGGAAGAGTTTGGAGGGATATGGGCCAGGAGCAGACAGGTGGGACTAATTTAGTTTGGGTTTTTGTTCAGCATGGACTGGTTGGACCAAAGGGTCTGTTTCCATGCTGTATGACTCTATGACGAACAGTCACTGAACCTAAAACGCTAATTCTGCTTTTTCTTCACAGGTGCAGCCAGACTTGCTGAGTTTCCCAGCAATTTTTGTTTTTGTTTCTAATTTCCAGCATCTGCGGTTCTTTGGGCTTTTGTGTTCTGTTGAATTGAACACTGGCCAAAACCTTCAAATGAAAAAGGCACCAAATTGGAGAAAGGGAACTTTTTATGAATTTGCACACATAGATAATAGTCAATGTACCAGAGGATAAAAACTGTAAAAATATTAATGCTTTCCATCTAGGGAATAATTTTCCTGAAGGTGATGAAGAAAAGTAAAAGATAGAAAATATTTTTTCAATTCTAAGTTGGAAAAATAAAACTCTTAATAGGATTTTAAAAGAATAGTCACCTGAAAGAAATTATTTCTGGTGTACTCAGTGGTATGGATCTCCATTGAATCATTTACTATGGGAGCCAAGAAAGTCATACGGGGGAACATGCTATACTCTTCCTAAGTAAACATAAAATGGGTTATTTTTGTTTTCTTTAAACTTTAATCTCTTGTTTCCCTGAGCAACTACAGACATTACTTTGACTCCTCTCGAAATACTGGAATTTGTTTGGAAGAATCTGTAATAGTATTTGTTTTTTAATGTGATATTGTGCGTCGTGCTGGGAATTTATATTCCCATACTTCCTTAGCAGAGAATGTCTGGGCAGTGCTTCACTAGAAACATTGATATATTTGACAAAGGCAGACACTTCTCTGTCTATGTTGGCTGAATGAATAGCATTTCCTTTTTGAAGGTGAAGTGTAGATCCTGTGTGGTGCATCTGGTAATTGTACATCAAAGTGGAACAATTGCAAAGATTAAAAGGTACCAATGTCTTTAGTTGATAATTTCACTGGTAGAGGAGCTTTGATTTAGTATAATTATGACTTGCATATGACATCACCTGAAGTGACAGTGACTCATAATAAGGAGAGAGGCGCAAAAGCTTTAAACTTCATAATGCAAGCATTTTTCTCCTAATATATATAACATGAGACTTTTTTTTATTAACAACAATGACATGGATTTGTTTTTTTTAGGAAAGCTGTTCACAAATGGCTTGTATTTCTCTTTGGAATTTAATTGTATTGGTATGAAATCTGGCAGTCCTGAATTACTCAAAGTGGCTTTTTAAAAATAAGCAAGGATTAAAGTGAAAAGGTATTAGTGAGAGTTTAGAAACTTCTGAAAAAAATGGATAAAATGCAAGGAACTCTTTGAAAAAACTGTACTGATGGCTTGTCTTCCAGAGGCATGTTGAAATATCAGGCAAATTTGGATCAACACCCGCCTGGCTGCATTAACCCGAATAAAACATTAATCGATGATTTGCCTGTGACAGAATGTCCTGCAGAGCAATTTATGGAAGTCTATACTGAGTCAGAACCTGGGATGGAGAACAACTCCAAGAAAGTCTGCGGTGAAGCTCCAAAATTTCAGTCTAATTTGCAGGAGGTATGTAAAATTTGGTTGCTCAGCTTGGCACATTTGATTTTGCCTTTTTCCTTTTTAGTTTTTCTTTGTGTGTGTTCTTGTTTGTTGCATTAAGCAATTAGTTCTGGATTGTAGCGTGGTTGCACAGCCAAGTATCTGTACAGTTTAGAGTGTACATTGATAGTAACATAAGGTAACTTTATTTTGGATTGCAATATTTTATAGAATGTTCAGGCCATAAATATTTAAAACATTTTGAAGAATCAAACATCAGATGTATGTGAAACAAATAAAAACAGAAATTGTTGGAGAAACTCAGCAGATCTAGCAGCATCTATGAATAGAAAACTGAATTAATGCTTTGAGTACAGTGAGCCTTCTTTAGAACTCTTCTCAGTGCAATCTCCACAATGAAAGGAACTGACTGGAGAATAAAAATGTTCAGATATATCAAGAAAGCTTCCTTTGCAAAGAAACACTCAACATCAGACTGAGAGCTACTACTAATGCCTATTTTGACAGGAAGGTCCCTGAACTTTTTGATTTAAATAATAAACTAAGTAGCTGCTACCCCTGAGGTCAGTAGAGGGTAACACAATCTGTCATGGGTTTTAGCAGGTAGCTATGTGCCAGCCTCCATTATTGATTCTGGTAGAAATCTTCATAATACCCTTAGTTTCTTTTGCCATATTCCACAAACAGAATGGCACAACAGCGAATGTGAACACAGGCTGTTGGAGAGACTTTTGGACGATAGATGCATCACAGCAGTGTTCCTTATTGATATTTAAGTGGATTTTATTTTGCATACAGAGTGCATTTGGGGTGATTATTAATGCAAAATTTTTTGTAGGTGATTGACCTAAGTTCTAGACTTCCATTTTGAGAATATAAACGTTGGCTGGTTTTGCACTGAAGATATTGTCTGTTGCACATTCTGGATTAATGGTATAAATTGTGATTTGAGATCATAGTTTTTATCATGAAAGCTAGTCTTAACCCTCAAAATCAAGACTTGTGGTTAACTATTTTTATTTTTTTCAAATTGAATTGATTTGATTTAAAGGTGAAAAATCAGGGTCATATTTATGCTTCATGAAGACCCGTTTCCTGGTCGTACAGATCATGCCCATGTTGAAGGAATGTAAAGTTTTACAACTAATGAACATTGAATTAAATACAAATGCTCATCCTTGACATAACACTTATTGTTACAGCATAAACATTTATTGTCATTCTTTAGCTGTTCTGCTTCAGCCCTTTGAAAGTGGATGATCCAGGATGCCTTCACAGAAAGATTTTTAAGAAATTGGAGGATGTTTGAGGGTATTTTGGGGATTTGGAACTCTTTCCGACTGCTTTGAATCAGGGTTTTGAGGTCACTGTTGGCCTCAAGTTAAACTGTTCCCGTTTCCAACGACAACACTGTCATACACCTGTCAAAGTGGAAAATTACCCTAGTACTGCCTAGGCACAAAAAGCAGAATGAATCCATTTGGCCAGTTACCACCATATCAGTAAATTATTATAAGCTATTCTGGACAGTGCGGTAAGTGGTACTTCTAAAAAATTCTTACATGGGATGTGAGCATTGCTAGCAAGGTTAGTATTTGTTGCCCATGTCTAATTCTCTTGAACTGACTGGCTTACTCAACAGTTCTAGAGGGCAGTTAAGAGTCAACCACAATAGTTAGGGTTAGTGTTAAGTTTGGTCTGGAGTTATGTGCAGGCCAGTCAAGGACTCCAGATTTCTTTCCCGAAGCATCATTAGTGAACCAGGTTGGTTTTTACAACCATTGATGGTCTTCAGCACAATCACAATTATTGTGACTAGCTTTTTATTCCAGATTTATTAATGAATTGAATTTAAGTTCCACCAGCTGGTGTGGTAGGACATTAACCCTTACCACCAGGATATTAGTCTGAGTATTGGATTAAGAGTCTGGTGACATTATCTCTTCGCCATCATCTCCATCTTCCCTATTTACCCATTAAGCTGTTCACTGATGCTCAGTACAGTTCATCGAAGACCAGCTTGGCTCCAAACAACATTACGGCCTTAATCCAAACAACGAGAGAAAAGCTGAATTCCAAAGTTCTGTTTAGAATGCCTGTACTTGATATTTGAAGTTACATGTGTTGGTTTCGTACTAAGGGGAATGGGTAGGGTGAAGGTCATATTTGTTAATACCAGTGTGGTCAGTAGTTGAATTGATCCAATAATAGGCAAGCATGACATCCCATTCACTGAGGAGACAGTTTTGAAGCTCAGGCTGGCATAAGCCAACCAAAATCTTTACCATCCTACAAGTGAGCTCACTGGGATAGATAAGTCCCCTGGGCCAGATGGGTTATACCCAAGGTTACTACGGGAAGCGAGGGAAGAGATTGCTGTGCCTTTGGCGATGATCTTTGCATTCTCACTATCCACTGCAGTAGTACCAGATGATTGGAGGGTGGCAAATGTTATTCCCTTGTTCAAGAAAGGGAATAGGGATAATCCTGGGAATTTCAGACCAGTCAGTCTGTCTTCTGTGGTGGATAAATTATTGGAGAGGATTCTAAGAGATAGTATTTATGATTATTTGTAAAAGCACAGTTTGATTAGAAATAGTCAGCATGGCTTTGTGAGGGGCAGATCATGCCTCACAAGCCTTACTGAATTCTTTGAGGATGTGACAAAACACATTGATGAAGGTAGAGCAGTGCATGTGGTGTATATAGATTTTAGCAAGGCATTTGATAAGGTTCCCTAAGGTAGGCTCATTCAGAAAGTAAGGAGGCATGGGATTCAGGGAAATTTGGCTGTCTGGATACAAAACTGGCTGTCCAATAGAAGACAGAGGGTGGTGATAGATGGAAAGTATTCAGCCTGGATCTCGGTGACCAGTGGTGTTCCGCAGGGCTCTGTTCTGGGACCTCTGCTCTTTGTGATCTTCATAAATGACTTGGATGAGGACGTAGAAGGGCGGACTAGTAAGTTTGCCAATGACACAAAGGTTGGTGGAGTTGTGGATGGTGTGGAGGGCTGTTGTAGGTTGCAATGGGACATTGACAAATGCAGAGTTGGCAAAGAAGGGACAGATGGAATTCAACCTGGAAAAATGTGAAGTGATTCATTTTGGAAGGCCGAATTTGAATGCAGAATACAGGGTTAATGGTAGAATTCTTGGCAGTGTGGAGGAATAGAGGGATCTTGGGGTCCACGTCCATAGAAGCCTCAAAGTTGCTACCCAAGTTGATAGGGTTGTTAAGAAGGCGTATAGTGTGTTGGCTTTCATTGGCAGGGGAATTGAGTTTAAGAGCTGCGAGGTTCTATAAAACCCTGGTTAGACCACACTTGGAATATTGTGTTCAGTTCTGGTCACCTCATTATAGGAAGGATGTGGAAGCTTTAGAGAGGGTGCAGAGGAGATTTACCAGGATGCTGCCTGGAATGGAGGGCAAGTCTTATGAGGAAAGGTTGAGGGAGCTACGGCTTTTTCTCAATGGAGCGAAGGAGGATGAGAGATGACTTGATAGAGGTGTACAAGATGCTGAGAGGCATAGATAGAGTGGATAGCCAGATACTTTTTCCCAGGGCGGAAATGACTATTATGAGGGAACATAATTTTAAGGTGATTGGAGGAAGGTATAGGGAAGATGTCAGAGGTAGGTTCTTCACACAGAGATTGGGTGTGTGGAATGTGCTGCCAGCAGAGGTAGTGGAGTCAGATACATTAGGGACATTTAAGTGACGCTTGGATTGGTGCATGGATGATAGTAAAATGTAGGGTATGCAGGGTGGTTTGATCCTAGAGTAGGATAATAGGTCGGCACAACATCGTGGGCTGAAGGGCCTGTACTGGGCTGTAGTGTTCTATGAATGAGACTAGATCAGTTTTGGATATCTGGTCAGCATGGACAATTTGGACCGAAGGGTCTGTTTCTGTGCTGTATAACTCTATGATGCTATGGGAAGTAGATTATAAAGACTGAAAGAACTGTGAATGCTAGAAATCCGAAACAAAAGCAGAAGTTGCTGGAAAAGCTCAGCAGTTCTGGCAGCATCTGTGAAGAGAAATCAGAGTTGACATTTCAGGTCAGGTTCTGAGGAAGGGTCACTAGATCCGAAACATTAACTCTGATTTCTCTTCACAGATGCTGCCAGACCTGCTGAGCTTTTCCAGCGACTTCTTTTTTTGTTTGGAAGCTAGATTTAGTTCTGCACCATCTCTACTACTGTTTAACACAATTATTTTTGTACTTAACATCCTTGTCACCAAATTTATGTAGTGAGAGGAACTTGTAAAGAGAAACTGATGCCAAGATGACCAGGTCGCCTATTAAATGACCCCATCATACAAACAAGGAACAGGAGTAGGACACTCACCCATATAAGCCTCCTGTGCCATTCAATAAGATTACGGCTAATCTGATTTTAACTTCAACTCCACATCCCTTCATTCATCTGATAATCTTTCATCCATTTGGTAATCAAGAATCTATCTACAATACATTGACGATTTTGCATCCATTTTCTTTCTTCATTCACGGGATGTGGGTATCCCTGGTTAGGCCAGCATTTTGTTGCCCATCCCTAACAGCCCAGGGAGCAGTTGAGAGTTAACTCTCGTGCTACACCTTTGGATTCACATGTAGACTAGACCAGGTATAGATAGCAATAAAGTACATTGGTGAACCAGTGTGTTTTTCCTGACAATCAGCAATGGTTTCCTGGTTATTAGACTCACAATTCCATCATCTGCCATGGCGGGATTCGAAACAGGTATAGTACCACTAGATCATCATCTCACCCATTGCCTTTTGAAGAAGAGAATTTCAAAAACAATCAACTCACTGAGAGGAAAAAAAGTTTTTCCTCATATTTTTAAACTATGGCACCTAGTTAAAATTCTCTCACAGGAGGAAACATCCTTTCCACATCCACCTGGTCATGACTGCAGGGATCTTATGTTTCAATTGTCATCTTTGACGCGTGTAAACTCCAGAGGATACATGCCTACCCTTTTCTCATAAGG